CTTTACCCCTCTCTATCTCACCACGCCAGCCTCAAAGAATGAAGAATTTCAAGAATGAGAAAGGAATCAAATTACTCTCTTTCGTTGAGCCTGATCAGCTCAAGAGAGTAGGGGGATCGTGATGGTACCATGTATCATTACCATGACCCAAGATTGAATTAGAGCAAAGCCCATTAACGGGATCAGCCCATCAACGGGATCAGCCCTTCACGAGATTAATTTTAATTAGCCGCTGGGTCGGACTATGGATCCAGCCCACAAAAGGAACCCACAACCAGGCCAGGCTGGACGGTAGACCTCGAGCCTGGGCGGAGTTCTAGTCCACAACCAGGCCAGGCTGGATAGTAGACCTCGAGCCTGGGCGGAGTTTTAGCGAGGCCGGGATATTCCTAGGGCTTACGTGGCAGGCTATTATCCCAACATAGTTATCTAGCAATAGTAGGAAGCCATGAACGCTACAAGAGTCCTATTCGAATTAATATGCAATAAATAGCATTTATTGTATCAGTTTCATACTAGAATACTAGTTCTTGTAGCCTATAAATACTCTTGTACATCTCTTGTAAAGGGGGTCTTTCTCGATTAATAATACAACTATTACTTTCTCTTCTACGATTCATGAATATTTGATTGATTAAGCTCTTTTCGCTGGAATTATATTCCATCATTGGTTATTTTATTTAAACAAGGTTAAGCAACTGAGAAACTCATGAAGATAGGTTTCACACAATCACAAAACAATTTTGATATTTTAATTCAATTTCAGTCTTACTGCATTTCCGCACAAATAGTAATCTTATAATGACATTTTTTATATGTTTGCGACATATGAGTGTTTCAAATTGATTCTGCTTCTACTTATATCTTAAAAATAGAAGCAGGATTAGAATCAATTTTTTAAAAGACATCTTCCCCGGAAGCATATATGGTACAACCGGCTGTACGGTGCCAGCCGTAAAGCCGGTGACAAACTTATAATTTTGGTGAAAATCTCAGATTCACTTTAAATGAGCATTGAATCAATTTTGATGAGCATCGAGCATCTTCTTTTGAGTATTAGGAGCCTAACGGTGAGCATCAGTGATATCTGCTTCATTCCTCATATATCACATTTTGTTTATTATTTTTCCGTTTATTAAAAAGTTTTTGTCCAAAATGAGCACACATAACTTACAAATTAGTACTCCCCCCGTCCCATAAAATTCTTCCCACTTTCCTTTTTGAGCCGTCCCAAAAAATTCTTCCCACTTACCATTTTTGGACAATTTGTGTGGTTTACATTCATTTCACTTTTTTCTTACACAACCACAACCATACATTTCCACATTCTTAATATCTGTGCCAAGTCAAAGTGAGAAGAATTTTGTGTGATGTAGGTAGTATCAAATAATTAAAAAGTTCATTTGTGTGTGCTCATTCATTTTGGGCGTTATACTCATTTGAGTTTAACATAAAACTCATTTCTAATGTTGTCAAAATTTATTTGTATATGTTCATTTAAAATGAGTATTACACTAATATCAAATGAGTATACATAAATTACAAAATGAGCATTCATAAAACTCATTTGAAATGTCTACTAAGCTCATAATTTAATTTATTATGCTCACATCTGAAGAATTACATATAACTTAGATTTTCTCTAACCTGTGGCCAACAAGTGACCAAACTCACTCACCAAACTTAAGTAAGAAAAAGAAAAAAAAAGGAAGAGTCCAAAGCAAGAAAGAGGGAGAAGAAGCAACTAGGGCTATACATCAGGTGCTGCGCAGGATCCGTCGCGGAAGCCGGAGTTTGAGGTGCCGCGCTCGTGCTGGAAAGTTGCGGCTGTTGAGAATCGTTATCTGTGTAGGCGGCGAGCGAAAGACGAGCAACGAGAACGATTTGCGATGGAAGCCTGTGAACTGCGATGAAGACCTGCGACCTGCAATTTGGGAATTAAAAGGCCAGTTGTACCGTGCGCACGGTACAACCGGCTGTACGATGGAATTTACCCGTCTTCCCCAACTTCTAAAAAACTTATTCTAGGAACCATACACATTAAGTAGTACTTTTCACGCAAACACTCCCATATAAGTATAAAGTGACACGCCAACCAACCATTCCAGCTTACTGGATGAGAGGTTATCGTGTACTAGCGGAGGTCTAGGGTTCGAATTCCGCTAGACACATTTAGGGGAGATGAGAGAGGTCTTGCTCCCAATGATTTTTCCTACCTTCACGGAGTTGCACAACGGCTTTGAAGGTAGTCAATAGATTTCAGGATTAAGAGAGACAACTAGATTATAAAAAAAATATAAAGTGACAGGCCAATTTGATTTATTGATGTAAACCTTACTTGCGTGGAGACAATGACCAAACATGGTAAAATTTTTGCAGGTGTTTCCAAAACATGTAAAACAGTAATCCATACTTTCTCTCCTCCCGATAGTGGTTGACTCCTCATTATTTAATTCCAAACAACAATTTGAACTTTGCTTTCTCAATTTAAATTAAAATGTGGTTGATTTTATTTTTCGATTTATCTGGCTTATCGGCCAACTTGTTACGGAACACGTAAATTTTGATTTCGCATATTGAATTGTGTAATAATAAGAAAAAATGAGACTTCGACAAAATATGTTTTTCTCATCTCTTGGTTGCAGGGACGGATCCGGGATTTCGAGTCAAGGGGGACGAAAATTTTCGTTAGTGTAAGAAATCCAAGACCTGACTTAAAAAGTTAAGATGAGATGAAATCCGTTCTGACCAGACTTAAAAAGACAAAATCAGACCAAATTAAACAAGAACAGAAAATTTCAATCCAATTAAAATATCGCAAGTCTGAAACATGAAAAAAATAGTATATATAAAACGGCGTACTTAGTATTTTTATACTTCAGAATTGAGATGTTTTTACTTTCATTCCAGATCAGATCAGATCAGAACATACGTGATTAGACTTAAACAGACATGATCAGATCAGACTAAACATAAATAGACCAAACCAGATCAATCTTCGATAGTTATAAAATAACAAAGATTATATATTTATCAGATTAGTTTAGACCAGTCCGGACTTTAATTACAACACAATTTAGCAGTGTTATGTGCTGAGGTTACCAAATGGGGTCTATATTTATTTAGAAATTTGGTTTCCCTCGTACCTATGATCTATGATTCCCTCATGTCATTAATCAGAAAGTACCATTTAACTTAGTGCAAGAAAACTAATAAAAGTGAAATGATAATAGATACTATATACCTCCGTCTCCCTATTATTGTTTCATTGCGGTTTACGATGCTTGACCGACGATAAAGCAAACGGATCCCGGTACGCACTCATTTTTTTTTAAATGAATTACAAATTCATAAACTAAAATAAAAGCTTTACAAATTCACAAAAAAAAAACAGAATCAAATTTGATAAAAATTAGATATATAAAGTAAGAGATTAAGAGTGATTTGTGTTGACCAAGTAAATAGGAACTGAGACAATAATAAGGGGACGAACGGAGTATATTTTATTACAAGTAGATATATCTTCTATCTTAAAAACATAAGATATATTTATACTCTGAATGAAAGTAGTTAAAATGATCTAGTAATGTCAACCACTTCAATTAGAAAAACAATTTTAACATTAAAGTAGCTATAATATTACTATGTATTTGTAACATAATTTGCTTGGCATCATGCACTCACAAAAATAGGGAGCAGTTATAATTTATAAGCATTTACTTACGTAAATGGAAATAAGTGGAGTGACTTTTAGATATGCTACAGTGTTATTACTGTTTTACACTCCTGTGTCTCTTGGTGCACCCACAAAACTGCTTGGCGCACCCACAAAATTGCCACTTTGACAATCATACCCTTCCATCTTGTGCAAATCTATGTTTATCCATTTTTGATTTTATTTTTCTATATTTGCATAGATGCTACTCCATAGATGCTATTCTTCCAAATTAGAAAAATCAACATAATATTACTTTAATATTTTATTGAATTCAATACTTAACTCACTCTAACTCACTCTAATTGATTGAATTCAATTTTTTAAGGAGCGAAATAGTTGTACCCCCTTAATAAAATTAGAAAACCGCAGATACTATCAATTCATTCATTATTGGTCCTTTATAATTTTATCATATTTCCTATTTTTATTATAAATTTTTTTTGCCTTTTCCTCTTTTAATTAATTAATTTGTATAAGTATAATTTTCTCTCCTCTACATAAAATTTAACCACATCATTTTTACTTTATTATTTTCTATACAGGTTAAACCTGAACAAGTTTTATGGGATAGACGGATATTATATTTACAATAATTTTTTTTAATAAAATAATGAAAAACTTATAGCACAAAAACTCAAATTAGATGGTCTTCTAAAATAATTTCAACTGATTAAGCTAGAAAAATAAATTCATTTTTTTATTAGTATACAATTTAATACACAAAATTAATATTTATATTTTTTGTAAACATTGACTTATAAAATTGATAATCTGAAAATAGGGGTTATCGGATGGCTTTTAACAATTAGAGCTCGTTTGGTAATACCAAAATCAGCTGAATCGGTTGATTCTCTTGAAATTTATGAATTCTAGCTAGAGTGTTTGATTTTGCTGAAATTTATGAATTCTAGCTAAAGTTTGAACAAAGTAAATTCTATCAGATTTAAATAGATCTGGTCTGACTAGACTTGATTTAGATAATAGCAAAATCATATCAACCAAACGTTTACCGAACCAATTTTTTTTTCCGAATTTTAACATATGCATTATTACTTATTAGTGTAATTTGATATTTTTTTGTAAAACTCAAAACACAAATAAAAAAGTAATACTGGTAATATTTTATACTCCGTATGTAGTAATAATACTACTCCGAAATCAGGGTACAATTTTCGAAGGGCATTCAATTACAATATCGAACTAAGGGAGCACTTTTTTTAACAAAAAAATTTCAGAAGGGTAAACTGGTCGAACTAAGATTACTAATGGGTGCTCGTAGCATCATCCTATACACTCTCAAACACCCGCCTGCGTGGTGCAATACACACATTTCAAATTCTGCAAGGCCATTCAAATCCTCAAACCCACACCCACTAGGCACTAGCATGCCTGAGACCTCAATTTTCCGTTTACAATTTTTGGTGTAGAAGGTGGCAGTCTTGTTCTCAGACCCTGCGCTACTCCTTTCCTGAACGGGCTAAGACCAAAACACTAGGGTTATTGGATTCAGTCCCGAGAATGGGAGACGGCCTTAATATTTTTGAGGTGAATAAACTTATCTTCTGGAGCAACGACCTCATTCAGGTATTCAAGAATGGGGAAGATGTCAATACGTTGGAGCAACTATCAGAGCACTCCCATTTCCTTCAATCGCAGTGTAATGCTGATTTTAACGACGCTCAGAGGTCCATCGAGGGTATTTAATAAGTCTCGTCTCTTTTCCGCTCAAATTATTTTAAAAAGGGAAATTTACCTGCATATCACTTCCAGATTTTTAGGATTAATTGATTACTTTTAGGTATGATAATAGGAAAAAAACTGATGGATTCATATATTGAGAAACATATCTTCTTTTAGTCATAAGAGGGGTAAATATCTCTTAAAAAAGAACTTTTTTGGGTGGTTCTGCTATGCTGCATTGAGGGTCTTGCAGGATGAATTTAGAGGTGTAGCCCCCCACAGAAATAAGAAATCTTGCAGAGGCTAAGGGTCGTTTCCATGAACTAAATTGTTGAATTCTATGTTAGGGTTATTATTATTTTTATATAAACTTTCCTTCTGTCTAAATGCTCAAACGTACAATATGCTTACAAGTTGAAGGCTGGCATGGCTGTTTATTATATGTTCATCATTGAATAATGAATACTAGTATGATTTTAATGTATTTTTGGATTTGGGGTATTCTCTTGGGACTAAGGCTTGGATGTTGTTGTTGTAGTAGTGGATTTGAGGTATCTGATTTGCTTTGATATTGAAGGCATGCCATGTTGATTTTTGTGCGCCCCATGCTTCAGCTTATGAAAAGAAGCTAGTTGCGTGCAAACAAAAAACTGTGGAAGCAATTTCTGAAGCATCAAGTGATGTTGAAGTAGAACCACTGCAGAAAGAGCTTGAAGAGGAGCTTCAAAGAAAAAGCACGTTGATAGAAGAGCTGAGATGAGTATCTTTACTATCCTATGCTGACGTTTTTTTATATCTTAGAATCTTTTGCTTGTGATACTGATCAGTGGTTTGTTTTCTCATATGTCATCACAGCTCTGTCTGAGGAAATAAATGATTTAGAATGTCAAAGAGGCTCCATTGAGGACCGAAGGAAATGCCTTAAACAGCTTGAGCGAGATTTCTCTAGAGCAGAGTAAGCTCATCTGAACATTTCATATATTTCATTGTGATCATTATCACATTCATGAACATTACATACATGAATGTTATCCTAAAAGAAATCTTAGTTGTGATGTCATGTGAAACTTTTCAAACTATCAGTATGAAATATGAATGATGGATTCCTATTGATGGGGTGTGTGTGTTAGGGAGCCGATAGAATAAGAGTAAATAAGAAATGTAATAGATAGAGTAGTATAAATAGAAGGTGAGTGGGCAATAAAGAGTAGGCTGTTTAGACTCATTTGGTCTGGGACTGGGAGGTTGGAGTTTATCTCCTTCTTTGGGACTGTGTACTCGGATTCTCCATTAATGAAGCTTTCAGTTTTCTTAGTTACCATTCTTCTGTTTGTTAGTGAAGTAGTGAACTACTGTAATTGCTAGGGTTCCTAACATTGGTATCAGAGACTTCGATCACTGTGGATGGTACCGACGCGCGCAAGGATGGATAGCTTGAAGAAGATTCATCAACAAAATATGGAGATGTTAGCAACGATTCTTGCCAGATTGGATGCCAGAGATCAACATCGTTCGAAGAATACCAGGCATCTTCAGCGATCTGACAAACATGGTTCGTCGCAGTCGCTCGCTAGTCCGCAATCGGAGTCACGAATTGTTTCTCTTAGTTTGCAGTCCCGAAAGATTTCGCGCGAAAAAATGGTGAAGCTCGCAGAAAAGGTTGAGAGCGGAAAAGTGGAGAAGGAGAAGAGCTTAAAACAGGAGAAAGAAAATCGCTCAAACCTGGAGAAAGAGAAACACTCAAGCCTGGAGAAGGAGAAACATGTGAAGAGCAAACAACATAACCGGCGAGGACGATCGAGGAAGGTACGTCGCTGCGTAAATTCGAAAAGCAAAGGCCCGTCTCAGTCGCACGATACTCATTGCGGACCTCTGGCTTCGACTCAAGTAGAAATCCCTAGTTCGTAGTCGCGAATTGTTTCTCTCTGTTCGCCATTGCTAACCGAGCATCTTCTATTGTCATCACAAGTAGATTCTTACCCTGCGCCAGACTTGTCTCTTCATTCGCAGAGATCATTGCATGCCATATCTCCCAGGGTGCTAGTGTCAACATGCCAACATGAATTATCCGTTTCAGAATTTACAATCATAGCCGCATTAGGAAAAGGATTAAAAGGGACTATAATTCTGGAAATTCATACTGAATTGAAGCAAGTGGCACCAACAGTTTCAGGGAATAGTGAAGTTGAGATTCTGCAGGTATGTGATAGTGATATTCGTGTGGGAAAGTGCACAATGACTTTTGGGTTTGTACAGGAGAGGAACTGGCTTAATGCTTTAAAATTTGTAATGATGGACTGTCATGCATTTAACATTACTTTGGAAGGGCTGAAGTCATTGAACAAGTTTGATGGTTTCAAATGTGAGAGTGTTATTTCTAGGATAGATAAGCAAAATGGATTGGAAGGAAAGTTTTCTGGGAATATTACAGAAGATGAGGGATATGTGTCTGGTAATGGAGTTGTCATATATCTGATGTTTGTTAACGATCTCAATCCTGGTCTTGTTCCTGAGGCCATTATAGGAGGTGAAGTGGTTATGGAACTACCAGAAGATTATATACCTGTTCAAGATAGAACTGTAGGTTTTGATTACAGGTATCATATGGCAAATACTGGTCCAAGACACAAAATACTCAGGAAAAGAGATAAGGATTGGACTGGAAGGCTTGTTATTGAGGATAATGAGGCTGAAACAGCACGGTATACCCAGCAATCTACTATGTTTCAAGCAATTTTGAAACCCAAAATTGAAGAGGGACTTTCTAACCATTATAATTCAAGGGATCATCAATACTATTCCCCAGTTGTTTCCTTTGTTCTTGTGAATCTGAAGGGAAGGGATCCAAGTACCCTTGATTCCTCTACCAATTTGTGGGTTGGCTTTTTAACAGGAGCACTCAGAATTTCAGATTCTTTAAATGAGAAAATAGTGGAAAATTTTGAGGAACAACATAATGAAGCAAATGAAAAAGTGAAATTAGAACAGGGTTGGAAAATGGCCATGTCGTTTACTGGTGATAGATCTGTCTACGTGCAAGAAAACCAATTTTGGAACTTTTACATGGGAGATAAGCTTTCATGTTCTTTAGTTATGAGAACTGCTGCTGGAATTATGCATCTCATTACTTGCTTGCTAAAACCTTTGAGGTTTTCCTTGTCAAATGAGGTAAGTAAAGAATTAAGAGAGGAAGAAGTTGAAAGGTACGTAAAGGAGTTTGCATCCAATACAGTATTAGTTTCAGAGACTGGAAAACATGAGGAGCTGCAGAAAAGTGAAGAAATATTTTTTACTATCAAGTGCAGGAAAGAGACTGAATTGAATGAATATTCACTGCTGATTTCTTCTGCTATTGAAAGTTCTGAGATCTTAAAAGATGTCGTACGAAAGTCCCTAGTCCATCAACCAGTCAAGTATTGGGAAGGGAGAGGCGCAAGGATGAAGAGGAAGCAGAAGATCTTGGCTACTTCCTATCGCCCACCTTGAGGGCAAGGTGGATGTTTAGGGGGGGAGATATGTTAGGGAGCCGATAGAATAAGAGTAAATAAGAAATGTAATAGATAGAGTAGTATAAATAGAAGGGGAGTGGGCAATAAAGAGTAGGCTGTTTAGACTCATTTGGTCTGGGACTGGGAAGTTGGAGTTTATCTCCTTTGGGACTGTGTACTCGGATTCTCCATTAATGAAGCTTTCAGTTTTCTTAGTTACCATTCTTCTGTTTGTTAGTGAACTACAGTGTGGTGCATGCTTTATTATGAAAACCAAATTGTAATTGTGATCTCATGGCGTCATGTTAAAGTTTTCAGACTAAACAAATGATGGATTCCTTTTAATTGAAGTTTGGTGTCATGCTTTATTGTGCAAACCAACCTTACAGTTCTTTTAATTCTATGCATGGTATTAAACAATAATCTGAATTGCCCATTATACAAATATCACAAGTAACGTTTATTTTTAATGACATATTCAGTTGTCACTTCAAGTCTTCAAGCATTAAAATTATCACTCTTGGCACATGACTTGTTTTTTTTTGTACATTTTTTACCATTGTCGGCCCTTACTAGAAACTGATAAGAAACCCAATATACGGGCAGAGTTCAGTCCCCCATCTATGTATATCATACACAAAGCTGCAACTCGAAAAAGAAAAAGCAAATCAAAACCTTATTAGTAAAAGATTCAGTTGCTTTTAGCTAACCAAAATCAGGTGTTGGAATTTGGAAAAAGTGAACATAAATTGCCCTAATTAGGAGTAAAAACACTGAAATTCCAAAATAGAAGTACTGTGTTTTCCCCTAAATAGGAGTGATTACTATCATGCTTGGAAAATACTGTCAATTATGTAATTAAAACTTAATGCTTGGTAATGCCAAAATATGATAGCATGATTTCAGCATGAGAGTAATTTATTTCTATTTAGGGGGGACATAACACACATATTTTGGAATTTCACTTTGTTTTTTAATTATTACTCCCTAAATAGGAGTAGTAACTATCATGCTTGGGAAGTATTTTCAATGTCATTAATATAATATAGGCATGTTAATGCCTGACAATACCAAAATATGGTCATGTACTCGTATGGTTTCAGGATGACAGTATTTTACTTCTATTTTGGGGAGAAAAATCACCCATATTTTGGAATTTCACATTGTTTTATTCATATTTCGAAAAACTACCCAGATTGAAATTTATTCCCCCCCCCAGAAATGTGTTGCCTGACAATATTCAGTTGATCCTGATTAGAGATTCAAACGAAAGCACAGGAAGTGACAAAAAACAAGGTGGTGTGCCAAACGCAATCTGAATATCGGAAGACCAATGTGTGATTGACCAAATGTTCATGGGGCCAAAAGTGGCAAAAATTTGGATGTTATTTCAATATTTTCTGCCACTAGTTATTTGCAGAACCCCTTTTCCCCACCATCACCTTATGCACCTAGTAAAGTAATAACGACCCTTTTTGTTCTGATTTTGCAGGATGAAGTTATCATTGTTGGCCTCAGTTACAAACATTGTTCCAAGCTTGGATGATCAGTCAAAAATATCTGGCTGTATCCTTATTGAAAATTTGAAGAATGGAGTATATTTTTATTCTTATTTTCCTTTCTTGCCTTGTTTCATAGTCCTTCACTCGGCATAGATATTGTCAAGAGGGATAAGTTGTTAGACAATTTTGACTTTGATCCTAAAAAGATGTCTGAGTTTGAAATCTGTAACCACATTTGGAAGATCATAAGCTCCTGACACAGTGACACAGCAACAGGGAAACATCATGTTCGAGAAAAAATGTTTGAAGAGTTTCCAAATGCAAGAACAATATGTCTCGAAAGCTTCACGTATCACAGCATTGTACTTTCTTGAGCATAGTTTTATGTCACGGTGTGGCAAAGCATCTTTAAATTGCCACAGCAATTCTATTTTTTATTGTGACTACCTGTTGTACTAATGCAATGTCACTTATGGTTGTCCCTTTTTTATCCTCTTAGAAGTACATGTTTCTCTGAATTCGAAATAATATTGAATATAGTTTTGTAGTTTGTCCTTTTCAATTCTTGAATAACTTTATCTCTAAAAATTTGTTGAAATTCACAGTTATACCATGAACCATTTAATTGGGTTTGTTTGTACCCCATGCATTGTGGTTGAATTGTATTCGATTCTACCATTTTCTAATCAACGTATGTTATCACATTTCAGGCTACTCTTAAAAGGAAACTTGACAGGAGTATAATATGGCATATCGGATGCAAGTGTGTTGATTTGTATGTGAGCTTGTTTGGCTATATGTTGTACAATGTTTGGGTTTTCACTTCAATCCAAGCTTTGTGATGTCCTAACCATTCGACTTTTCATAGCTTGGTGGAGTTGGGGCTGGATGGCTTCCATTTTGGAACCCGACTAGATTTGGACTTGGGCCGGGTGGCCCGACCCGGAACCGGCTCGGGACCGGTACTGTTCTGGCCTTGCCCGAACCGGTGGCCCGGTCAGTGATCGGTCCGGGTAGGCCTGACCCGATGTGTTTCCGGTTCGAGTTCGGGTCACCCAAAACAAGGCCCGGCCGGGCTCGGTTCAGGCCAAATTGATTTATTTTTCCATTTGTTTGGGCTCCACCCGGGTTGAGCTTGATGTTTAGGAGGGGTTTGGGTGGTTTGGGGGGGTGAGGGGCGGTCAGGGATGGGTAGGTAAGAAAAAAAAAATAATCAAACCCGAGGCCCGGCCCGGCCCGGACCCGGTGGCTACTCGGGCCGGTCCCGGGTCCAGCTATTCAGAACCGCCGGCCCGACCGAGCCTAGGCCCGGCCCGGGCTTGACCCGACCCAAGTCCAAGTCTAAACCCGACTGAACTGGAAGTGGGAAAATAATTTACTTGAACCCTGGACTTTTAATTAAATTGGAATCAAAGATGTTACCAGGAACGGGTATTAGTGGTTCCCGTTGCGATCCTAGTATTTCTTAAACTTTGTATATTGTATATGTATGGAAGTGCACATAGGGATGGACTCGGGCCGGGTGGCCCGACCCGGAACCGGCCCGGGACTGTTCTGGCCCGGCCCGACCCGGTGGCCCGGTCAGTGACCGGTCCGGGTAGGCCCGACCCGTGGGTTTTCCGATCCGGTCTCGGGTCACCCAAAACAAGGCCCGACCTGGCCGGGCCCGGGCCAGGTTCGGGCCAATTTTTTTTTTTTTCAATTTATTTTAAATTTTCGGGCTGGGTTGGGTATTTTGGGCCATTTGGGGTGGTTTGGGGGGTTGGGGGTGGGAATGGGAAGGGGGTTAATTAGGAAGAGGAAAACAAAAAAAAAATATAATGGGCCCGACCCGGCCCGGCCCGGCCCGGCCCGGCCCGGACCCGGTGGTTACCCGGGCCGGTCCCGGGTCCACCATTTCTAAACCGCCGGCCCGCCCGGGCCTAGGCCTGACCCGGACCCGGCACGGACCCGACTCCATCCCTAAGTGCACATAAATCATTTCCATTCTTCACTTTATTTCAAATTGACATCCTCGAGCTTGAGTAAACATCGATCATTCTAACATTCCAGTGTACTACGCATACACATCCAAAGTGGTAGAACTCCACATATAGATCTTCATGTTCAAATTAACTTTGAAGAAAGCAAATGCTCAAGCAATCAATGAGTGTGAGACCTATCTTCTCTCGTGAACTGAAATCGATTAAAACTTAACCCAATTTGACGTGTATCCTTTCTATTTAAAAGACTTACTCATAGCATATATCAATATATGTCAGTGCCTAAAGTCCTATTCATAACATTACAATTGATTATGGGGCTGGATTCGGTCGGGACTAGAACCGAAAGTGCAAAAACCGAATCCGGACCGATATTTGGATTCTCTTAAAAATGAAAACTGAACCCGAAAGAAAATAGATTGGGACCCGATTTTTTGGGAACCGATTTTTTGGTTCGGTTTCGAGTCAAAAATCGAAATATTTTAAGTAAAATGGTATTCATAAGTTAATACATGGATCATCCAAAATAAACATGCATTACAAAAAAGAAAACCCACATCAAGAGTTAAAAACAATCACAAATCAAAGTTGTTTGTAAATTAAATTAAAAACTTGTAGTCCTAAAAAACAGTCATGAAAATTAAGACTCTTAATTTGCACAACTGTTTTTTATTATTTAAGAGATATTATTAATGTTACAATTTTTCCATAACAAATCAGCAAGACAGCAACGCGTTACATTGCTTTCATTAATGAAAAATAGAGGGACTTGGGCTTGGCAAAATGTATTAATGAAAATAATGATTTTATTATATATTACTCCGTATAAAAAATCGGTTCGGTTGAACCGACCTTTTGAATTTCAAGAACCGGTACCGAACCGAGGTAGACCTCGGTTACCGATTTTCGGGTCCCAACTTTTTCAGTTTGGTTCAGTTCGTTTTTTTCCTTTGACGGTTCAGGTTTTTTTGGGTCGGTTTTCGATTTTTCGGTTCAAAATGCTAGCCCTAATTGACCATTCATGCATATTTTGCGGTCCCCAGAAGTAGCATCTAATAGAGTAATTTCATCTTGCACATCACACCAAGAATGGGGAAAAGATAGTCACAAACTTTTATGTAAAGATAGTCACAAAACATTAACTACCTTTCAAATAACTACTATTCATAACAATATTACACCTCCTTGAATTCCCTTGCCTTCTTCTGCTTCTTCTCCTCCTAGATCTCAAAAGCCGAAACCGGGAAGGTCTTGTCGACGCTTAGAGAACTCTAGAAGTAGACCTTCCCTGTGGGCGGATCATCCACCGAGATCTCACTGATGGTGACCCACATCAACAACTCCTTGGGCTTCAGCCCTGTCATCTTCTTGATCTTGTTGTGCTCCACATTGGTCGTCACCTCGCACCCATACTACACCAGCTTCCCGATCTCCTGGAACTTGTGCTCCATCTTCTTCGACTTGAGCTACATGAACCCGGTGTCCTTCACGTACCCGCACCCCTCCATCTCCTCCATCTCCTTCATGAACTCATATATTGCTTGTAAATGCTCCTTTTGAGGTTCCTTCAACCTATCCTTCTGGTCCAACAATGCTGAATAAAATTGTCTAAAGCCATCTCCCTTCCACCCTTTTGGTACAACGATAGTAGTGCTACCCCAATTCCCTATTTCTATCATACACATAAAGCCCCCAAATCGGGTTTCTTCAAAAGTCAAGTGTATTTTGCGAGATCATTCATACCTTTTGAATGCCCAAGAAGTCCCGGACCGGATCTGGGAAATAGATAAAAATGTAGGATATTGGCGAGGAGTTTTTGGTAACATGAAAGATACACAAGCACTTGAGTTATGTATAATCTTTGACAATTTTTAAAAGAACTTTCAGGGAGTATCATTTTACTTTGATGTGTTTTGTGATTTTAGTTTGGATGTATATAATTGTTTTGATATTAGATCTATAAAGTATCACTTGCAAATAAATATAATTACTGAAAATATTTCCGTATATAATATCATCTACATCACTACATGCATATAAAATATTCATATATGTTTAGATATACTACATTACTACGTATTAAGTTAATAACATATATGCTCTTGTATCTTTTGTTAGGTGTATATTTCAGCTTAGGTCTCCAACCTAAACGACTCACACACACCACCCAGGAATGTTAAGCCCAATCTCTCTTACCTCTGAAGCTCTCAATCACAAAGAGGAAACTCTCTCAAAGGAAGAAGATAACCCAGCCACACTCTCTCACACACCTCACTTTCACTTATCCGCACTGCTCTAAGTCTCACACAAGGAGGCCACAATTTTAAGGAACCAAAAAGATGCCATCTCAATCAAAACAATGCATTGGTAGCTTAAGACAAAAACAAGGGGCCAAGCTGACAGAATTGCAATGCAACAAATAGATAAGGTAGCTAAGGAGCAGAGATAAAAGGTGGATAATGGGATTAAGGCTAAACTCAGGGTGCGGACATTAAATAATAATAAGTGGACGGAAGGCCTTGGTAGGACCAATACCTCCAATATTCTCCACCTTATTGGTCCTAGGTGGTGTAGAGTAACAAATACACGGTTGTGAGGAGACTCATCATTGCTGAACCATTACAAGTACATCATTCAGATAATACAAGTAATAGATGAGAACCAAAGTTCCCTTTCGGACCAAGCTTACCATGCAAATCCAATTCACAATGGACTGAACTCTACAAATTGGTCCTCGACTTCAGAACCGAAACCATCACAAAACTATCAACAAACACAACACATGTTAATAGACCATGCAAGCAAGCAAATGGGAGAAGTTGGGGATTCCAGCTCATCCAACACCCACACAAAGCAATTACACTGAAAATAAAAGAAATAATATTATTTCTATAACTAGCACATATAGTGTCACGCCCCGGACCTACCCGGACACGTCAACAACCCGCCGTACAGTACGAATAGTCAACCGCAGTCCAACTCATCCATACTATACAAGGCGTCTTGAATACCATTCACACATAGTATATCCATAAACAAGCATAATGTAAATCATTCATTTAAAACAGCGAAAGCATTTAATAAAGATGTCTTAGCCACACTTTGGCAAACATGGGCATACAAGCCCCCAAATAGTTATTCAAAAATAGTATCCATGAGCATTGTTATAATTGTTTTGAAAACAGGAAACAGAAGAAGCACGAACCACGTCTTCTCCCTTGGAAATCCCTGAAGCAACGGGCGCCGGTAGCAACCTTCAAGTCCTACCTGAAACTGTGAGGTGGCCTCCCCCGTGAAGGGGAGGTCAGTACTTGGAAATATTTGACAAGTACAATAGCAACTATACTAAGTATAATCAACGTTTTAATTTCCAAGACCCCCGTCTTAGGGTACTATTATATTATAGGCCATAAGCCTCGGTTACCCCTTTTTACCTTTAACTGTACTTACTTTACATAAAGTCAAGTAGACGGCCCGTAGGCCCATATTCATTTAGAATTCACCGTTCCCATTCCCCCGTGACCGCGAGTCACGATAACCCCGTGGGGTCCCATCGAGCCCCAATTGTATAGCATGGGCTCGGCCCAACTACATCTCTATACAATCCTCTAACTCGATGTATCATATCAACATTTGTATGGCAAGGGATCGGCCCAACTACGTTTCCATACCAACCATAACTTCGTGGCAAGGGCTCGGCCCAACTACGTTTCAACGGAGGTCACATATACATGGCAAGGGCTCGGCCCAACTACGTTTCCATGCTAATCATATTACATGGCACAGGCTCGGCCCAACTACATCTCCATGTCATCCTAGAGTCCAACTCTATTTATATTCATAATCAAATTCTCAAGCAAGTCCTATGCCTAGAATCAATTTCCGGAGGTGGCCTTTAGGCCTACCCCTAATCACTCCTTAGTGTTCATGTCATTCATTCTTAAGTATCTCTTGAGACTACTTAAGGCATATCTATCCACAATCCTACCTCTTAGGATTTATTTCATCATTTATTTATATTAATTCCCCGACTAGTATTTTGATACTAATAGGATAACCTTAGAACATGCCAAGTTCCTATTACCCATTATGCATTGCATTTCCATTGATTTCTCAACCCAAGTATAGTTTAATCTCAATATCAAAAATATCACTTTAATCCATTCATGAAGTTCATACATGAAGTAAAGGATATTTTATCACAATGTCATCTTAGTAAATTCCATTAACATGTCATTCCATTCATTTCACATAATCATACACAATTATTCTAAATTTGTATGTCATGCTTCACTTACTCATATTCATATTATTTTCATTTAGACATTATTAATCTTTAATAGTCCATGAAAATCCCGTCTAATTACTTTAGGCATTCTTATGAAATTAGCTCACTAATTATAAGCAATATAGTCAGTCATCCTCACCTTGTGATGTGCTACAATAGTTGCCTTTGTTACACCCCTCGATCAATCCCCGTTCTAGGCCGATTGAAAGGCAGAACTGGACTGCCTGGGCAAAAGCCGGGCGGCTTTCACGAAAGCCGGGCGGCTTTCGTGGTCTGCAACTACGACTAGCTCCTTTGAAGTGGCGGTTTCCGGCGATTTCGACTCCTATCGATTTGCCAACCCTCCTAAGTTAATTACCACCACTTTATATCAATATTCTACACTTTTAAACGCGTAGAACTCATGGTTTAATCCACCATATGATTTCTTAAAAATCATACAATAATAAAACTAGTTAAAGATTGTTTATTGAGTTCTTACCTCAAAAACAACCATCTTCTCTTTGGATTCTCTTCCTTGCTGCTTGGACTATGAAAGGAGGCTTCCCTAGAGATTCTCTCTTTGCCTTGGCCGAGTGGATGGGTGAGGAAATGGTAGGATAAGTGATCAACACCATCCACCTAAGTCAACCCACAAAATAAGGGAGTAGGGTAATGGTGGGTATGGGTTTTGTCTCTTGGAGATTTCCCACCTACTAGGTACACCCCCTCCAGCTGCTTCCTTGTCATTTGAAGCACATTGGGTCGTGGGGTGGCCCCCACTCATGTGGGAGGTCATCCCCTTATGCCCCGATGTGTATAATCGGCCCCGAAAGTTGTATTTTTCGGACTGTTTTAGTCATATTTTATTTTATCGGACCGGATAAAATATATCACGCGTTCCCAATAATTATGGGTATTTAGAATGGATGTATATTCCCCAACATTAATTTAGGAGTCTCCGAAACTCATTTCGGGCTGTTATCCGTTAAATAGCCAATACCGGTAATTGGGCCCCGTTTGACCAACCGGTCAACGCCGTGCCTTTCTTATGGCCCAAATAAGATATATACCACTATATACATATTATCCAGACCAAGATGAATATAATATGTGGTTCTGGAATTATCGGGCGGTCCACATTCCCGCTGTGGGCCCCACATGCAATTTACTATTCAAGTAAAAGAAATAATAAAAATTTACAATTACGCAAATTCATCAATCATCTTTAAAGGTTTATTACATAATTTACAAAAAGTAAATATGCTCGGGGTCGGTGTTACAAGTTCACCCCCCCTTAACGGGAATTTCGTCCCCGAAATTCACAATCGATTATTCAAACAGAAACGTATACTGCTCCTTCATCGAGGCTTCAGTCTCCCAAGTTTCTTCTTCAACTCGGTCACTTTTCCAAAGGATTTTAACCATTGGAACTTTCTTGCTTCTTAGCTTCTTTACTTGTCTATCAAGTATCTTTACCGGTTGCACGGCGTAGTTCAGGTCCTCCCGTATTTCCACGGGTGGTTTCTCCAGTACATGAGATGGATCCGGTATATACTTCTTAAGCATAGACACGTGGAATACGTTATGTATCTTCTCCAATTCTGGAGTCAACTGTAATCGGTATGCCACGGCCCCAATTCTCTCAAGAATCACAAATGGCCCTATGTAGCGTGGGTTGAGTTTCCCTCGGCTTTGAAATCGGATGATTCCTTTCCAAGGTGAAACTTTCAAAAATACCTCATCCCCAACCTTAAACTCTAAGGCTCTTCGGCGCTTATCGGCATAGCTCTTCTGTCTATCCTGTGCCGCCTTAAGTCTGTCGCGAATCGTCTTTACCTTTGACTTGGTGATTTCCACCAGTTCCGTGCTCTCGAGTTTGGCCATGCCAACCTCATCCCAACACAAAGGTGTACGACATCTCCTCCCATACAATGCCTCGTACGGAGGCATGCCTATACTCGCCTGATAACTGTTGTTATAGGCAAACTCCACAAGTGCCAAATGGTTGTCCCAACTCCCTTGGAACTCCAATGCACAAGCTCTCAGCATATCCTCTAATATCTGTATCACCCGCTCGGATTGTCCATCCGTTTGCGGATGGAAAGCTGTACTGAATTTTAGTTTTGTCCCCATGGATTCTTGGAACTTCGGCCAAAATCGTGATGTGAATCGCGGATCTCTATCGGATACAATGGTTATAGGAACTCCATGCAGCCTCACGATCTCATCCACATACAACTTGGCTAACCTTTCCAGTGCGTAGGTGGTGTTGATAGGTAAAAAGTGTGCACTCTTCGTGAGCCTATCAACCACAACCCATACGGCGTCATAATTCTTAATCGTCCGTGGCAGCCCTACCACGAAATCCATAGTCACGTGTTCCCATTTCCATTCAGGAATGGATAATGGCTGTAACAACCCAGCCGGATGCTGATGTTCTGCCTTAATTTGCTGACAAGTAAGACACCTACTGATGTACTCGGCTATTTCCCTCTTCATACCCGACCACCAGTAGCTTTCCTTCAAATCACGGTACATCTTCGTGCCTCCCGGGTGCATGGCATACACCGATGAATGATCCTCCTCTAAGATGGACTTTTGGAGCTCATCATCCAACGGTACACACACTCGGTCACGAAACAATAAGAGACCATCGTCTCTTTCCCTGAAATCCTCTACCGGTCCCGCTAGCATGCGTTCTCGGACCTTCATGAGCTCCTCATCAGCTTCTTGACCCTTCTTGATCTCATCAAGTAGTGTAGGTCTCACCTCGAATCTAGCTAACAAAGCACCGTCACTAGATACCTCCAATCGGGCTCTCAATGCCCTTAAACTCGTCAACAATGCCCCAGACGAATTCTTTCGGCTCAGGGCATCCGCTACCACATTGGCCTTACCGGGGTGGTACTCGATAACTAGATGGTAGTCTTTTATCAACTCCATCCACCGTCTCTGTCTCATGTTTAACTCTTTCTGAGTAAACACGTATTTCAGGCTTTTGTGGTCAGTGTATATATGACATGTTTCCCCGTAGAGATAATGTCTCCAAATCTTCAATGCGAACATCACCGCCCCCAGCTCTAAGTCATGAGTGGGATAATTTACCTCATGCTTCTTCAACTGTCGTGAAGCATAGGCAATCACCCTCCCATTCTGCATCAAGACACACCCAAGCCCTTGGATGCTTGCGTCGCTGTAGACATCGTACCCCACACCCTGTTTGGGTAGTGCGAGTACCGGTGCCTCGGTCAATCTCTTCTTCAGTTCAAGGAATCCCTTCTCACATCGGTCATCCCATACAAACTTGGCCCCCTTTCGAGTGAGCTTTGTCAATGGCGATGCCAAAACTGAAAATCTCTCCACAAATTTTCGGTAGTACCCCGCCAATCCAAGGAAGCTACGAATTTCCTTGACGTTCTTTGGCCTCTCCCATTCAGTAATGGCCTCAATCTTCTTGTTATCTACGGCAATCCCTGACCCTGAAATCACATGCCCGAGAAAACCAATCTCCCTTAGCCAAAATTCACATTTGGAAAACTTGGCATAGAGTTGCTTCTCCCGTAGTGTCTCAAGAACAAGTATCAAGTGTTCCTCATGCTCTTCTTCACTCTTTGAGTAAATCAAGATATCATCTATGAACACAATCACAAATCGGTCCAAGTATTTATGAAATACTCGGTTCATCAAGTCCATAAATGCCGCCGGGGCGTTGGTTAGCCCGAATGACATCACTAGGAACTCGAAATGACCATACCTCGTGCGGAACGCACTCTTCGGTATGTCATCCTCCTTTATCTTCAGTTGGTGGTACCCCGACCTCAAGTCAATCTTCGAAAACACCGTCGCTCCTCGGAGCTGATCAAACAAGTCATCAATCCTAGGCAAGGGATACCTATTTTTGATTGTGACCTTGTTCAGTTGACGATAGTCAATGCACATTCGAAGTGTTCCATCTTTCTTTTTCACGAAAAGGACCGGTGCTCCCCACGGAGAATGACTCGGCCTTATGAAACCGTTATCCAATAGCTCTTGCAATTGGGTTTTCAACTCGTTAAGTTCAGCGGGTGCCATTCTGTATGGCGGTATAGAGATTGGTGTGGTGCCGAGTTCAACCTCGATCACGAACTCAATCTCCCTATCGGGTGGAAGTCCCGGCAAGTCTTTTGGGAAGACGTCCGGATACTTGCACACCACTCTCACATCATTGATGTCTATCTCTCCTTTGGTTTTGTCCACCACATACGCTAGGTATGCGTGGCATCCCATTCTCATCATATTCCTCACCCTCACGGCGGATATGATACAACTGTTTGATTTGCCGCTATCTCCCTCGAAGCGTAAGGTCAACCCTTCACCGCCTTCGAGTTCAAGAATCTTCGTGTAGCAATCGACCCTAGCATGATGTTTCTCAAGCCAATCCATCCCGAGGATTGCATCAAACTCGATCATACTCAGCGGTACAAAATCACACGTCAAGTTCTGTCCCTCCACCTCCACCTCACACGATGGATAGTGGCTATCTCTCTCGATATCATCCCCTAGAGGCGTGGACACCAATAGGGTTTGAGTCATCGGTACAAGTGGTCCGTTGAATCCGCTGGCGAACGCCTCACTCACAAATGATCGTTGCGCCCCGGTATCAATAAGGATCCTTGCGTCTCTCCCGTTTATCTTTAGTGTTCCTACATTCATAAGTAATGTATAACACACTATCTAATTAATAGTCTTGTTTCTTAAGTCGTAGAGTATGTTGGTCGCGATTCGGGTGGGGTCCGTTTGACACCCGTCCGAAAATTCCTCGGTTTCTAAGCTTTAGAACCGCTCTAGGACGAACCCAGGTGAAAGCCGGCCGCTTTTCACGAAAGCCGGCCGGTTTTCGTCTGCGAGAAAAATTCTCATATGAAAATCACGAAAGCCGGGCGGCGTTCACGAAAGCCGGCCGGTTTTCGTCGCCGCAGTTTTTTGTTCAGGAAATGGTCTCAAAGTCGGCCGGTTTCTATGAAACCCGGCCGGGTTTCAGCAGCGCAGAAATCCCCAGGCTTAACGAAAGCCGGGCGGCTTCCGTGAAAGCCGGGCGGCTTCCGTGAAAGCCGGGCGGCTTTCAGCTGCGAGAAATTTTCAGGTGAGGTGTTTACGAAAGCCGGCCGGTCTTCACCAAAAGCCGGCCGGGTTTTGGTTGCGAGAAATTTTTGATTTAATCTTGACGAAAGCCGGGCGGTTCTAGGTGGAAGCCGGCCGGCATTCGTTGCCGTGGTATTATCCCAATTAAATCAAGACGAAAGCCGGGCGGCTTTCGTCAAAGCCGGGCGGCTTTCGTCAAAGCCGGGCGGTTTCTGCCCAGGGTGAGGATTCTCCTCCCCTTTTTCCCTTAAAACCCGACCAAACTCGTTGGGGTTATAAATTTACAAGTCCCACACTCCTATTTTTTTCAGAATAGACTAATAACATGAGTTTAAGAATTTACCCGCAACGGAGTCCGGGTTAGCACGTGCGTCCGCCTCCGTCATCGCATAGACCCTAGCTTGGGTCTTGCCTTGGTTCACGGATGGCGCGTTGCTTGTACTTGGCCCTCCGTGCGCCGTGCTCGCGTGAAGTGCCCCTGCTCGGTTCCCACTTGCCGTAGTTCCGCTGCTAAGCCCTGCACCCATGGCTCGCCCGAGTTGTGGGCAGTTTGATCTCAAGTGCCCCGTCTCCCCGCATTGGTAGCACCTAGGGGGATCGCGGCACTTGCCCGCGTGGTTCCTCTTGCAGTTGTTGCACTTGCTAATGCCCGAGCCTTGCGACCTCGAGCCTTGCCCTCCTGGGCCTTGATTTCCCCTAGATGGTGGTGCGGGCATTCTGAAAGACCCACCTCCCCCGTGGTTCCCCTTCTTGCTAGAACCTTGGGGGCCGGTGTTCTCCCATTTCCTCTTCTTCGCCTCCTCGGCGTTTTTCAGTTTTCTCTCTTCCCATTCTTTCTCCCCTTTCAGGCCCTGCTCCACCACTTGGCTAAACGTCATGTTGGGCAATTGTGTTGCCCGCTCACGCACGTCTAAATCCAAAGCATCCCAAAAGTGATTTACCATCCGGTTCTCATCACAAGCATACTCCGGTATGAACTCCGCGAGCTCCCTGAACTTGTGCTCAAGTTGCCTCACGGTGTACTTGCCTCCTTGGGTCAAGTTGGTGTATTCTCTCCTCTTCAAGTTCACCTCGAAGTCGGAGTAGTATTGGTTGAAGAATTCCTGTCGGAAATTCTCCCAAGTTACGGCCTCACCGTACTTCCCCTTGACACCGTCCCACCATGTGGACGCCATCCCCTCCAGCAACCTTGTTGCTACTCTCATCTTCATATTTGGCGGCAGCTGCATGTCAAGGGCCTCTTCATTGTACCGCTTGATCCACTCCGCCGCAACGGATATATCTCCCGTTCCATCGAACGGTTTACACCCCAAATCTCTTGCTTCTTTGAGGTACTTCGAGATCCTTATTATTGGGACCTCGACACCTCGATCTACTCGGGACTCCACATGTCCCCTAGAACCCGCATGGCTTCCCCTCCTTGAAGCCTCTCCCAAAGCACGCCTTGCCCGGCGCCTTTGGCGATCTTGCTGAAATTGACGGAGTAGTTCCTCCATCCTTTCTAGAGCGTCGTCATCGTCGCTCCCCTCGCTGTCCTCATCATACTCCCCATCATATGGGGTCTCAACCGGCTCAGTTCCCGGTCGATACGTCGAATCCTCCTCGGACTCATAGGACTCGTTCTCGTTGACTGTTTCCACATAACTGTCACTCACGGTCCGATCTCGGCCTCCACGGCCCTGTCCTCGGGACACCCTAGAATCCCCTCTACTGCCTTGCACGGATCCTCCCGGTGCGCGGCCAGTCGGGTTTCTTCTAGTCACTTTCCCGGTACCTTCCATTTCTGAAAGAAATTGAGAATGAGTCATTAGACTCGTATCAAATGTCAATTGACGGATAGGTACTTAAAGACATCCCTTGGCTCAAATCACCGCCATACCAATTGCTAAGGGTACCATCTTAACAATTAGAGACATTGCAACTCAAGTACCAAAAGTTCTATAAGTACAAAACCTTATGCTCATGGTTTTCAAATTCGTTTTCAAAAAGAAATTTTGAAGCTTCATTATGATGTTTACGGACTAAGGCTCTGATACCAATTAAATTGTCACGCCCCGGACCTACCCGGACACGTCAACAACCCGCCGTACAGTACGCATAGTCAACCGCAGTCCAACTCATCCATACTATACAAGGCGTCTTGAATACCATTCACACATAGTACATCCATAAACAAGCATAATGTAAATCATTCATTTAAAACAGCGGAAGCATTTAATAAAGATGTCTTAGCCACACTTTGGCAAACATGGGCATACAAGCCCCCAAATAGTTATTCAAAAATAGTATCCATGAGCATTGTTATAATTGTTTTGAAAACAGGAAACAGAAGAAGCACGAACCACGTCTTCTCCCTTGGAAATCCCTGAAGCAACGGGCGCCGGTAGCAACCTTCAAGTCCTACCTGAAACTGTGAGGTGGCCTCCCCCGTGAAGGGGAGGTCAGTACTTGGAAATATTTGACAAGTACAATAGCAACTATACTTAGTATAATCAACGTTTTAATTTCCAAGACCCCCGTCTTAGGGTACTATTATATTATAGGCCATAAGCCTCGGTTACCCCTTTTTACCTTTAACTGTACTTACTTTACATAAAGTCAAGTAGACGGCCCGTAGGCCCATATTCATTTAGAATTCACCGTTCCCATTCCCCCGTGACCGCGAGTCACGATAACCCCGTGGGGTCCCATCGAGCCCCAATTGTATAGCATGGGCTCGGCCCAACTACATCTCTATACAATCCTCTAACTCGATGTATCATATCAACATTTGTATGGCAAGGGCTCGGCCCAACTACGTTTCCATACCAACCATAACTTCGTGGCAAGGGCTTGGCCCAACTACGTTTCCACGGAGGTCACATATACATGGCAAGGGCTCGGCCCAACTACGTTTCCATGCTAATCATATTACATGGCATGGGCTCGGCCCAACTACATCTCCATGTCATCCTAGAGTCCAACTCTATTTATTTTCATAATCAAATTCTCAAGCAAGTCCTATGCCTAGAATCAATTTCCGGAGGTGGCCTTTAGGCCTACCCCTAATCACTCCTTAGTGTTCATGTCATTCATTCTTAAGTATCTCTTGAGACTACTTAAGGCATATCTATCCACAATCCTACCTCTTAGGATTTATTTCATCATTTATTTATATTAATTCCCCGACTAGTATTTTGATACTAATAGGATAACCTTAGAACATGCCAAGTTCCTATTCCCCATATTGCATTTCATTTCCATTGATTTCTCAACCCAAGTATAGTTTAATCTCAATATCAAAAATATCACTTTAATCCATTCATGAAGTTCATACATGAAGTAAAGGATATTTTATCACAATGTCATCTTAGTAATTCCATTAACATGCCATTCCATTCATTTCACATAATCATACACAATTATTCTAAATTTGTATGTCATGCTTCACTTACTCATATTCATATTATTTTCATTTAGACATTATTAATCTTTAATAGTCCATGAAAATCCCATCTAATTACTTTAGGCATTCTTATGAAATTAACTCACTAATTATAAGCAATATAGTCAGCCATCCTCACCTCGTGATGTGCTACAATAGTTGCCTTTGTTACGCCCTTGATCAATCCCCGTTCTAGGCCGATTGAAAGGCAGAACTGGACTGCCTGGGCAAAAGCCGGGCGGCTTTCACGAAAGCCGGGCGGCTTTCGTGGTCTGCAACTACGACTAGCTCCTTTGAAGTGGCGGTTTCCGGCGATTTCGACTCCTATCGATTTGCCAACCCTCCTAAGTTAATTACCACCACTTTATATCAATATTCTACACTTTTAAACGTGTAGAACTCATGGTTTAATCCACCATATGATTTCTTAAAAATCATACAATAATAAAACTAGTTAAAGATTGTTTATTGAGTTCTTACCTCAAAAACAACCCTCTTCTCTTTGGATTCTCTTCCTTGCTTCTTGGACTATGAAAGGAGGCTTCCCTAGAGCTTCTCTCTTTGCCTTGGCCAAGTGGATGGGTGAGGAAATGGTAGGATAAGTGATCAACACCATCCACCTAAGTCAACCCACAAAATAAGGGAGTAGGGTAATGGTGGGTATGGGTTTTGTCTCTTGGAGACTTCCCACCTACTAGGTACACCCCCTCCAGCTGCTTCCTTGTCATTTGAAGCACATTGGGTCGTGGGGTGGCCCCCACTCATGTGGGAGGTCATCCCCTTATGCCCCGATGTGTATAATCGGCCCCGAAAGTTGTATTTTTCGGACTGTTTTAGTCATATTTTATTTTATCGGACCGGATAAAATATATCACGCGTTCCCAATAATTATGGGCATTTAGAATGGATGTATATTCCCCAACATTAATTTAGGAGTCTCCGAAACTCATTTCGGGCTGTTATCCGTTAAATAGCCAATACCGGTAATTGGGCCCCGTTTGACCAACCGGTCAACGCCGTGCCTTTCTTATGGCCCAAATAAGATATATACCACTATATACATATTATCCAGACCAAGATGAATATAATATGTGGTTCGGGAATTATCGGGCGGTCCACATTCCCACTGTGGGCCCCACATGCAATTTACTATTCAGGTAAAAGAAATAATAAAAATTTACAATTACGCAAATTCATCAATCATCTTTAAAGGTTTATTACATAATTTACAAAAAGTAAATATGCTCGGGGTCGGTGTTACATATAGAGCTCACATCAGGGGCGGAGCCAGGATTTAGTCATAGCGGGGGCCCAAAAGGAACACAAAGAACAAAGAAAAAAATCTCTAAATAGGACTAAAATAAAAATAAAGATCTATTTGAAAAGTAAAACATATTTTTTCATATTTTTAATCATATATATGTAATTATTTCATGTGGAATGATCCTCTCACAATTACCTCACGGGATCCACTGCACGGATGCATACGTTTGTGGTGCTTCCGGGTGGATTCTTTTTGATGAAATTTTGTGACAATGTTCTTCATGGTATGTAGATTAGTCACAACAAATTTTGGTTTAAAACTCAATTGGAAAGTCGATTAAATAAATTATTGAGAAACACTGCGCCAAAAATAAATAAAAAACGCAGTATTTTTTCATAATTTATTTAATGGACTTCCCGATTGAAATATAAGATGAAATTCTGTGGATGTAATTTACACTTTAAGAAATACATTTTCACAAAATTTCATCAAAAAATTCTACCCGGAAGCATCTCAAATGCAAGCTTCTATCCGGTAATTTTAACCCAATCTTTTTTTCTTATTTCATATATAATACTGATACTACTAAAAAATAAAAAGGTTGGGAGGGGCCATGGCCCCCTAGCCATAAACACACCTCCGTCCCTGGCTCACATAATCACTTGGTATCACATTTTCAAAACACAAAGAAAATAGCATACCAAATATCACAAAGAATTTATTTAAAAGAGAACTAAGCACGTACATTTAAGGCAATCTCAAATGAAATATAGTCAAACACTTTGCACTTATCATTTCTCTCATGCTCCCTAATGTCTTTATCTCTAATAACATAGCAATCACGCAACTCAAGCATATTGCACACAACATTCATATCATGCTCCACCTTAACAGAAATATTATTTTCTTTATGTTCAACTTAAAAAAATTTTCATTCACAAATTTGAGTTCAGTTTCAACAAGTAAATCAGAATGAACTTCAACAGGCAAATTCTCCACCTTATTTGGAGCAACATCAAAAGAAACAAGCAGGCAAGGAAATTCAATTTCAACAAAAATGACATTTCTACTTATCAACACATTGAAGCAAGTTTCACTCCTACATCAAAGCCTATAACCTTTCATGCATTCATGATATCCTAAGAAAACATATTCCTTAGTCCTAGGTTCAGATTCACCATTCTCACGATTTACATAAGCAGCACAACCAAACATTCTCAAATTTGTCAAATCAAGTGGTTCGCCCGTGAACACAGATTCAATGCATTTCTCTCCTAAGGGATCAGACGGGGACATATTAACCAAATCAACATCATAACAAATAGCTTCCTCCCCAGAACTTTTTAAAAAGCCTAGATGAAGCTAACATAACCCTCACCCTCTCTAAAAGAGTTCTAACCATCCTCTCAGCAACCCCATCCGGTTGGGGTGTGGAGGGAACAGATTTATGCGCATAAATACCCCAAGTATCACATAAATCACTAAGCTGATCATCATAGAAATTGAAACTAAACTTGGTCCTTAAAAATTTTATTTTCTTACCAATTTGATTTTCAACAAGGGTTTCCAGTTTTTAAACTCATCAAAAACGTCAGATTTATTCTCAATCAACAAAACCCACACTTTCTTTGAAAAAAGATCAACCAAAGTAAGAAAATAATTTTTCCCACCTTGAGTGGAAACACTATAAGGACTCCACAATTCAGCATGAATACAATCAAGCACATCAGTACACTTAGGTAGATTAGGAAAACTAACTCTAGACTGTTTTCCTAGCACACAGGGTTGCACACAATTCATAGAATCAAGAACAGGTTCAACATGACAAACATACAAGTTGTTTTTCATCTCACCTTTAAAAACAACTAAACAACCATTCACAACTTTCATGATTCCCTTTCCCCATTTTCCCTTCAAACCCTCATTTTCAAGAGAAGCACAAGATAACAAATTACAGCACAACTCAGGAACATGCCTAACATCCTTCAAAGTAAGCACACAACCAGAAGAAAACCTAAGGCCATCTCCTATTCCTAGCACATTGCACTTCTTCTCATTTTCCAAAGACACAAAGCCATGCTCAATCCCTCTATAGTTTGAAAAAACATTTTTCAAATGGGACATATGAAAAGTACAACCAGAATCTACCACCCAATTTGATTTACCCAAAGAATCAAATATCACAAAACTCAAATAGTCATAATCGCATAGATTTCTCATCATAAAAATATCACCTGAATCATCTTCACAAGTAGTCAAATTAGCATGCTCACTATGCTTATTTTCCATAGATTTAGAACAGTCTTTTATGAAATGACCATATTCATGATAATAATAGCAACTTCTCGAATTAGACCTCGACTTAGATCTATGTCTTCTATTATTTTCTCCACCCCTCACATGCATAACCTCCTCGGATTTTCTACCCTAACCCATCTGTTTTTAATCTAATTCCTTACTCTTAAGAGCATTAACCACAATGTCAAGAGTCACATTATCTCTACCATACTTCATATCAGATTTCACATCACTAAAGGAATCAGGAATAGCATTTAAAAGAGCAATAGGTGAATAATCATCTATATGCTTATCACCACACAACTTAATATCAGAAATAAGTTTGACAAAAACATCTAGATTTTCCTCAATATCCTTAGACATATCCAGTCTAAATTTGAAGAACTTTTCAAGTAAAAACATTCGGCTACGCAAAGAGGTTTCAGCATACAATAAATCAAATTTATTCCACAAAATTTTAGCACTCTATAAAATTCTAACTTTTCTAGTCACAGAATCAGATAAGTTCAAATAAATCACTGAACATGCATTTTCATTCATTTCAGCTTTTTTATCTTCTGTGTCAGAAATTAAATAGGTCTCACCAACTGCTTAAAACATTTTTTTGGATTAAAATACATTTATTTTTTTGCTTCAAAATGCTAAAATCAGATTTTCCATTAAATGGAGCCATACCATAATGATTATAAGCAGACATTTTCACAGAGAAAAACAAACAACAAAAGAAAATGTAAATTTTGCTGAAAAACAATTTAAATATTTATAAGACTACAATTATACGAAGCAACTAGTACGAACACACGTGATGAATGATGATAGTTTAGGATGTCTAAAGCATGTGAGTTCAAGAAACTCAAACTCTCAGACCTCCATATAGAGTTCCTGAGTTCCAAAAAGAATTGTTTTACAAAAAGAGAAAAGGATCAAATAAGGTCTTCTACTATTATAAAATAGTCGCATAAGACCATGTACTCAATAAAGTGTCATATAAATGCCTCTACTTGTAAAAAGCAATCAAATGAGTCCTAATGACCTATTTAACACCTCTTAATCCCGATTTCAACGTACTTCTGACCATCTTTTTAGAATACATTATATGACATATATCAAATGTTTAGCTAAGATTGGTTGAAATACAAGTAAAAAAAAATCGACATGTAAGCTAAAATCGGGATTAGGAGGTGTTAAATAAGCCTTTAGGACTCATTTGATTGATTTATACTAGTAGATGTACTTATATGACACTTTATTGAGTACATGACCGTATGCGACTATGTCATAATATTAGAAGACCTTATTTGACCTTTATCTCTTACAAAAATGAAGTATCAATATAAATTAAACCTAATATGGAGTACTATACGTCCCATTAATATTGTCCAAAACTCCAAATAGAAAAACAAAACCTAATACTACACTCTTATTTAATAGTTACAAGTTACAACACTTTGAATTTACATTATTTGCGCACCTTATTTTGACGCATATATAATCAAATTATTATAGTATAAAATACCATTATATTTGTCTTAATGTGAATTTAAAAAATATTACTTAGTAAAGTTTTACTCCATATAATGTTTGTTAATACATATGTAGTAATTAAATATAATTATAGTCAAAGTTGTGTGTTAGCTAATGTGAAAATCAAACTGTTGTAATTAAAAAAGAACGAATATAATATTATTTATTTGGTGACTGTTATATTTCATAAATTTAATTTAATTAGCATAATATTTTAAAATTCATAACAAATATATTTATTAGTTTATTTTAGTTAACTTCTAAATCACTTGAAACATGAGGATATATAACCAACTCGACCAACAATTTGAATTGATTGGATCACCCGTCCTTAAATCCGACATAAAGTTAATTAATGATTATAAGAGTAATATGTTTCATAGGACTAATTATGTGTTTCTTGGACAAATATACCCTTATAGCTATTGATTTTTTTAATTCATAATAAAATAATAAAAAATAATA